GTATGTGTGTATGTGTGTATGTATGTTTGTATGTATGTATGTATGTATGTACATGTATTTATATAATGTCATAATATTTCATATATACTTTTTTTACAATATGTATACAGTATATATATAATATACATATATATAAACATACTCTATATACATATACAGTAAATTAGGACAATTAAGGAACCACAATCGTAAGGAACCCAAGCTTCTCGGTCTACTGCTCGACTCTCTAAATTGAACTGATCAGCTGGATCTAGTTGCCCTTTTATCCCACATGGACCGTGGAGTTCACCCCCTGGACACTCGATCCTTGAGCCGGCTGGCTCAGCTGGAGTATGGGTCAGACCATGTCAGACCACTCGAAACAAAGATGGGCCCTCACACTTGGAATCGTAGCAGGCCTCAGGAAGCGCAGAGCGCTTTGCGCGGGAAGCTGGCCTGCTTTGTTCTTGTTTAAAGTGGCCTTGTGGTTTGATTATGGTTCCATCTCGGCACAAGACGGAGACCCAAGGACCGCGGCCGCGCATGGCCATCGATCTCTCTTCGTCTCTGGAGACCTCCCTTCATCGTCTCCGCTTTCGCTTCGAGGAGGACTTCCACTGGGTGCACTTGGTGGCCCGTTTGGCCCAGGCTGGACGGATGGAGCATGAGGGAAAAAGGTGCTTGGAGGGGCACCAGCTGGGACATGCTGGGACTCTTGACACCTCGAGGTCCATTCTTGTCCTCAAGTCTCGAACACGGAGAAGCCGAGTGATTCTTGTGATGGAGGTGTTCTTTTCCCGTTCTTGTGATGCAGGTGTCATGCTTACAGGATGTATTTTTCCGATGATGTAGAACGTTGAAGTTTCCATGTTTTTTGTTTGCATCATGATACAGTAATATGATGTAACGTTGCTGATATGTTACCTAACTATCCTAAGTATCCCATGTCCGTCTTTTGGGGAGTTGACTACCGCTGAGGGCGGTGTCTCCAGGTCTCTCTCAGACTAAAGGCTGGCAATGTCCCCAATGCTTTGATGGCTCCTGAGGAGCCCCTGTAGCGGATGAACCGGGGGGTACGCTATTGTACAAGCATCGGTATTGTACGCTGGCACGCCGGAATGTGCACTGTGTTTGAACCGTATATTGTTTTTCGGCGCCAGGAGTATCCTGAAACCCACTGGAGTGTCTTCACAGAGCCCTGGTATGAAGAGCTCTCCGAGGAGCGCGGTGAGCCCGCACGTCGAACTGCGTCCGGCGCAGTGGGTCCCACTGGAGCGTCGAGACGGAAGTCGCAGTTCTTCACATCACCCGCTTTTCGTCCGATCGGACATGGAGAAGGAGTAAGAGAATTGACCCGTGGTGGAAGACCGCCAAAGACCAACCCAGTGGTTTTGGGGGTCCATGTGAATCTGCAGGGGGGAGCCCTCTGACACTAACATGGAAGGTGAGAACCTCCTGTTTCATCCTGTTTCCGAGAAGAAAGAGGAGGAAGGGATCCGTACACTTCCATGTGAGTCAGTTGCAGTGTTCAATTGAGGTGTGAGTTGCATGGCAGTCCATCAAGAGATCACCACAGTTTTTTTACAGTTTCAGACAGATGTCGTTGTAGAAACAGTGAAGCACCCACAATTGGGGACAATGTGCGCCTCCCATCATGAACTTGAATTGTTGTTGCGGATTTCAACCACGCCGACGGCGCAGAGGGTTTGTAAAACGTGTAGAGATTTGTGGCACGTTTTCACGTTTGTGAGAGTCAAAGATTCAAAGATCAGTGTGTGGTGTGCTTTCGTGCCCAACAGCTGTTTGATCGAATACCTTCGAAATCCTTCGAATACCTTTCGGCTGTGTCTAATGTGTGAGAATTGAGGTTAACATTCTACTGGAATGATGGACACTACAAAAACAAATGGCTTCAGAGTTGTAAACATGTCGCTCATTTGCCACAACTTATTTGTTTTGTTTGCGAATTCACCAACCATTCATCCGCACTGCCACAGTCACAGAACTCCGGTACCTTTCTGTTAGCCACACAAGACGCAGCACAGATTTAACCACTTGAGGATTCATTTGTAGGGGACACTGTTGAATATGGCCTACGTCGTCAAAAAGGGCCAACGCGAACATCCCAGAAGCAGCTTGGTCCCTAAGACCGAAATCACGCATAGCATCATAGCATAGCTCTATCGGGGTGGCCCCAGACTCTTCGGCCACCCCTTCTGAAACGCCCTGCTTGCAGGATTGGGGTTTTCAGTCACTTGGCCGGCCGTTCTCTACTGGAAGGGGGCGCGTTCGGCGTTCGCCCATCGCCGGCGGGCCACCCCGGCCCTCCCCGGCGATCGAGCGCAGCCGAGCTCCGCAGCGGGTCTCCGTCTCGGGTCGTCGACAGCGACGAACACGAGGAGAGATTGGTGGTGCGCGCGTGGAGCGGTGTGTTTCTTGGTTTGTTTGTTTTTTTTCAACTGTGAGTCACATTGGGGATGCCAGTCAAAATCTGTAAACTGTCCAAAAGCAAAAGTGCATCGTTACGGCTGAGCATACACCCCCATAATTTGAGGTATAGGCCGCTAGGGCTAGGGCTGACTAATTGGGCGATAAACATGATAGGAGGAACTATAGCAAAGTTCAGCACGACAAACTGCGCCAAATTCAAGTTGTTAGGCCAACTATTGCTGCGCTGAAAGGAAGGAAGTTCCTCTAATGTCCACTGTGCATCAGGATCTTTGGAGCAGCCCTAAGACCCTAAGAACTGCAATGGCTGTGCTGCTTGCCCAATCCACCTGCCATTGATCTCGCACCCATTCCTAGAATCGCTTGGAATGATCGGTATTTAATGCCAGAGGGGGAGATCATTCCACACCCAGCACTTCCGCTTCAAAGCATGGAGAGCGTGGGGATTTCCCGCAGCATGGCGCCAGCAAATACTCTGTGGCGGTCGGTAATTACCATTTCAGATGCCCAACAGTTTCAGAGTCAACATGGGCCACGGCCGCCTGAGGCATTTCGCCCAAGCCGCACGGGACGCCGAAGCGCTGCGAACAGCTGGGCTCGTGACGTGGCCCGATGAGAGCGGAACGATCCAAGTCTTACAGTGGTTTCAGAGTAGATGGCACTGGCACCCCAAGATGTCTTTTAGATGGGGATCCATATAAACCACCTTTTGGGGATTGTGCCATTGGTCCTCTCAATCCACTGTAATACCTCGGTTTGGTAGATGATGACCTTTGCCCCTAGTAGCGATGCCAGGAGCCACGTTCGTAGCGTCCTTGCTCCTAGTAGTATGGCCAGGAGCCCCGTTCGTAGCTTCTTGTTTTGCAATGTTTTTGCATGATTTTTTGCAGGGTGCTAGGACCCGCTAGGAGCCCCTGTTTGATTGAACACCACCATGAATTCTAAGCCGTAAGCCTGCAACAACCTAGAGGAGATGAATTTCCCGAGGTTGTGGTCCAAGAAATTACAACAGTAGCTCACCAATCTCTCAACCCTGTTGTGTTTTTCAATTTGTTTTAAGCAGAATCCAGGCAGAACACAGAAAGAGACAGTGGAGGAGGGTAGAACTAGATCCACAGAAAACGATGCAAACAGTTTTATTGAAGAATGCTGACGCATTGTTTGCTGGTCGAAGGTAAGGGCTGCAAGGGCCCTTCCAAATTGAGGCAACATCAGCAAATAGAAACACACTCTGACACTTGTATTCAGTTAACTCAATTTCCCGATGGGAAGAAAGGCGAAGAACCGCAGGGCGCAAAGGTCAGTGAAAACAGTATGGTTTAACCTTGTTTGCAGTGGCACTCGAAAAGACGATCGGACACTCAGCGCGGCTGCAAGTCGGCTGTAAGGCTGCGGTGGGTTTGGGGGCGGTAGCATGAAGAACCATTGAACCAACGAACAGCGGCAGGGTGGACCATTGGAGTCAGTGTGTTGGGAGCAGGTACAGGAAGGTGATCAGCCTTCCCTTCCCATCCATGACCGCAGCTTCGTTGCACACGGTAGGTCATGGATGCCGTGTGCCCCTGCTGGTTGAAAAAGTTAGTGGAAAAGCGTGGAAAAGGTGGCGGTGGAGATCCCTTTGCCCAGGGGTGGACACACACAGATCGCCGCATTCGGCGCTTTTTTCAAAAACCGGTGGCAAGCGTAGTGGTTGTGTCCTTTTTTGGACATAGAGCCTCACGAGCTCAGCCGCAGCAGCTTCAGCGCTGGAGGGTGGAAATGTGTATTTGCGAATGGTGTGGAGTCGTGATTGGAGGCCTGATAGAGCCAAGCGCTGGCTCCCGGCGGTTGTGGAATCCCTGATTTTCCAGGGTTGGGAAGGTTGCATGTAGGTGATGGTGCGTTGTGGGAGGTCGATGTTGAAACCGAGGAGATGAAAATCCTCCACTGGTTCGAGTTCCACTGGGTCTCCAAAAAAGTTGTGGTGGATGAGGGTTTGAATGGCTGGGTGTTGGAGGAAATGTTCGTTGTGGACAATGAAGCGGTTGTCGACATATCGATAGTAAGTGAAGTGGAGGTCTGTGTGTTGAAGTAGGTTGTTGTGGATCTGGTGCCAGGAATGCTCAATGAGGGTGATGGCGACATTGCATAGGGCTGGAGAGAGCTGGGATCCAATCCCGGCCCCTCGGATTTGTTTGTAAGTATTGTTGCAAGCCCGGAAAATGCATGTGTTGAGGGCAAAAGCCACGATGGTGGTGATGTCGGAAGTCTGGATGGTGCGTTGGGTAGGGTGTTTTCGATGGTGTCTGCCAATGTGTGAGTGGTGGAAAGGGTTGCCGGTGGCCTGGACATCCACCGTCAGGGTGTGTGTGGATTGCTGTTGTTGCCAGTGGTGGACGAGGGAGTGAACCGCATCGATAAGTCTGTGCTGTGGAACTGAGTTGAAGAAACCGACCAGGTCATCGTTGGTGGCGTGTAGTGAGATGTCTGGTGGGGTTTGGGTGAGGTAGCTGTGAAAATGGTGCCAAAGCTGGGGAATGGACATTTGGCCGGGATGCTGAGGGTAAAGGTGTTGGAGGATGATGTCAAGGGCACGGCTGGTAATGCGAAGTAGGTTGCCACTGAGTGATTGGAAGTATGAGATAATTGTACGGCCTTTTTGCCAGTGCTTCTTCTCCTTGAGGTGGACAACGCCGTAAGGAATGTTGAAGTCTTTGCGGAAGCCCCACTTGTAGCGAGTGCGCAAAATGGGGGGGAACAGTGGCTGCCAGGTGATCGTGGATATTGGTGGCAGTGATGTAGGGAAGTGGTTCGAAAAGTTCGGGGGATTGCCATGTATTCAAGGCGCCAGTGAAATATTGGCGAGGGCAGAACAGCCGGAGTTGTTGTACACACACACACAAAAACAAAAAGGCAATGGGTTTGCAGTTGGGTACTCTATGTATTTTTGACAATCCACCTCTAATATGAATCAACCCCAGGGCTCCAACTACCTCCTGAAGGTGGTTGGGGTGGGTTTGGGGGGCTAACCACCTTCTGAGGATATGGTTGGAGCCGGAGGGCAGTGACAATCCAAACATCGTCGGCTACAATGACTTAAAACCAAGGGATACGAACATCCGGCACAGAGCTGGGCTTCTGTTCTTCGTCATTTGGAGAAGATCAAAGCAACCTTTCTCCAGGGATTTTCATGACTCCATCTCCAGGGGTCCGCTAGCGTGTTGTGTGAAAGATTGTAAAAAAAACAAGTTCTCACTCTATTTATATCAACATGTATCAACACCCCTTGGGAGTCAGTTTCGTTGTGTTTTCACTCACCAAAGCGGAACCTTTTCTACAGCGTTGGACGCTCTGTCGCCCAGTCTCTCCATCTCACGGCCTCGCCGCCGCTGCGCTGCGCCGCCTTCCGCAGCGAGAGCCTGGTGAGGTGGGGTGGGAAGGCCAGAGGTTGGCCTCACATTCACAGGAGTTCTCATCGTCCAGATCCTTCAGATGTTTGTTGGAATCATCCAGATGGACATGAGATGCGTGCCGTGTCTCTTGTGCGAAGTGTGCTGAACCATGTAGAACACATGTTCAGCTAGTTTGCTGCAGATGGTTTCCATGTGTCCATTTCTTCAGAGTAAGATCGGACGGGTTTCGCAGTTTCGCTTGTATGGTTGGATCGGATGGTCAACGACGTGAAGGTCTACATGATGACCGGTTTTTGTCAGCCTACTGCCCCCAGGTTCCAGTGAACATCCTGAACGCGTGGCCAAGGATTCGCGTTTAGCTTTGGGAGTCGCGTAGGGTAGAGCATTGTTCGCATGATGTTGTTGTCGTGTTCGCAACTGTTCACGACCGTTCACAACCGTGTTTGAATGTGATCGGTATAAGGATTATAAGGTCGTGCCCTTGGGGAAAGCTTTTGGAGGAGGTGTAGTAATGTCACATGTTGAAGTGTGGAGGGTGATTTTGCTGAGCAGGTGCAGCGTCTCGTGAGATCCTCAGTTTCCTTTGCTATGCCATTGGGATTTGCGTTTCAGGCTGTTGCCTCGAAGCCGTGTTCTTTTGACAGGCCTCAGGTCTCAGCTAAATATTGCGATTTTGGTGGGTGTGAGTGTGCTCCGAACGGGCCGCAATCATTCCAAACGTGTGGTGTGGTGCACATTTTCCCCAAGAGTGTCTTACGAGAGTGTCGCACACGGGTGTCCCACACAACAGTGTCCCACAAGAGCGTATCCTACAAGAGTGTCCTGGAAGAGTGTCCCACAAGATCGCCCCACAGAGTGTCCGACAAGAGTGTCCCACAGAGTGTCCCACAAGACTGTGCCACAAGAGTGTCCCAGAAGAGTTCCCACAGAGCATCCCACAAGAGTGTCTCACAAAAGTGTCCCCAAAGAGTTTCCCACAAGAGTGTCCCAAAAGATTACCTCACTCACAAGAGTGTGCCGGAAGAGTGCCCTAAAAGTAGAGTCTCCCACAGTCGTGTTCCACAAGTGTGTCTTACAAACATTTCCTGCAAGAGTGCCCCACAAGGCAAGGGTGTCCCACAAGAGTGTCTCCGACAAGAGTGTCAATCAATGCGTGGCCGTTTGTATTCGACTGCGTGTGTGCATTCTGGCTTGTTGGCTCCATATTGTTACCCTCAAGAAGTTGTGTGTGCTTCAAACCACGATGAATAGGATGATGTCTTGGTTCTTGGGGCTTCCCAGCTTCAAGGGTTTACAGACATCGCTTGGGTTTCTCACGATGCTCCATTCACTGACCAAAATAGCAGTGACCAAAAGAAGTGTTTGCCATTCAGCTTTGTGCGGTGATATTTGTTTAGAACTCATGATTCATGATTCAATTGATGTGTTTGTGCAACAACGTGCTGTTCGATAACCTTGACAACTTATTTAATTGAAGGATATTTATTCAATTTTATTCATTCAAGTAGATTTAGACTTTAAACCTGTAAGTTTAGAGCCCGCCTCAACTGATTTCATTTTCTGGGAAGACGTGTGTTTGTCCCCAGAGGCGTTTGCAACCCCTTCCAGAGGATTGTGCAGCTTGGAGAGGCGCTGACGTGCTGCGCCTCTTTTTTGTTGAAGTTGGGATGAATGGATGGACCAGATGGACCAATGACAACTGTGAACGAAAAACACAAGGTGTTCGGCATTGTCCCCTCAAACGTGCAGGTGTTGGTCAACATATGTCAACATGTGTTCAGAAGATTCAGCAGGGGAAGGCAAACGAAAACTATTGTTAAACATTGTTTCAGTAGAGTATAGGCGGTGGGTATTTAATGGCCAACCTCGCAGGAGGCCCCGTTTCGAGTCGTTAGGGGTGTGCCGCAGGTGAACCAAAATCCCAATAGTAGACGAAACTGAAACCAAATGTTAGTCTATATAGATATATAACGGTATACTATATGTATAGACCTTGGGGCCGGAGCAAACAGCAGTTGCCTTCAAATTTGTCCTATTGTGAGAACCTGATGCAGCCTGTATTCATGGTATTTCATGGTCCAGGCCGCCACTTAAAGGATCTTAAAGGTTTGTTTTGGTTTGTCTTGTTTCCTTGTTGTGAGTTCAAAAGTTGGGTATGGGGCTTTGACGCCATTCACATGTCTTTGTTGTTGTACAGTTGTGTCCTGAACATCTCGGCGACCATCGGTGCGTAATCTTTGTGTAGATCTCGGCGGTTCCCGCATCACTATACATCCAGGAGCACTCTTAAATGAAACGATGCAAAACACTGCTTATGAGACCGTGCTTCACCAAAGGGCAAACCATTGTTTGTCATGGTTCAATGAGTTTCTTGTGGACTGCAGATAGGGAACACGGTCAATTGTTTCATGGGAAAACAATATATCCAAAATTCAATCATAGCAAAACTCCGGAAGTGATCCTCCATCAAAGCGAGCCGGTCAGGTGAGAAGAGACACGAAAGGACATTATTTAATCTTATGTCATTTTCGAAAAAAAATCAGGTGCGTCGCAAGAACTTGGCCTGCATGCCGAACGAATGGTCGAAATATGTTAAAAAACATCTAAAGCTAAAGGTCTCTGGATCCATCAATGATGGGAAAGACCGAACCACCTTCCAGATCATTTAGCCGGGCCGCTCTCTTGAGCAAGCTCATCCAATAGACGGCTTCCCGGGTTCGCCACACTGAACGTGAGGCTTGGACTTGAGGGCTTTGAACCAGCTCCATGAAGGCGGAGCTGGCTCAGTCGGGCGGGTTCCGGTTGGAATGCGCACCCCAAGGGATCGAACAGAGCTGCATGAAGAGCGTGGCTTACGAAACGGGGCTCCTGGCCTTACGACTAGGAGAAAGGACGCTACATTTCGCTATTACCTCCTCTGAACCCTGCCTGAACATGGGTGAAATGGCCGATCAGAGTATGGCAGCCAGGCAAGACTGGCTTGAGGGATCATGAGAGGTGTTGATCAGCTGTCTATGAAATTGAATCTCATACCAGTGAAATGGAAAGGGCGTCATGAGAGAGCATAGGGTCCCCAGTCCCAATCCTTCTACATCATGAGGGTGGAAAAACAGCCTCTCAACTAGACATCGAACATCATTTGAATTATATAGATTTATATTGGAGCTTGCTTCTGTATATCGTATGATATCGATGTTGGAACCATCCACCTTGCCTCGGCTGGGAAGAAAGGTCACCATATCAGCAGCTTCTCAAGCTGAGAGACATGCTTTTTTGTTTCCCGAAAAAAGACAAAAAAACTAAGTCAATGTATTGGAGCCACCCACAGGACCTGTGGTGTGTTTCTCCGCAAACAAAAGAACTTTGCTTTTCGCTCGAATCGGTCCAATCTTTGTTTTCCTATTCCGAACAGTGTTCGGATATGTGCGCCAAGATGCTTGATATTTCTCCAACCCACTCAGACCTCCACCAAGAAACTCAGAAACTCTTTGGGACCAAGAGTATTTTGGTGTGTCTTTATTTGCTGTTTAAGACACATTATTGTTTGGTGAGTGATTGATTTGTGCTTTCTGATGCTTTCTGACCGTTATTCAACAGAGACATCCGCGTTCGGGGTTAGCTCAGGGCAGCGTTCGGTGGACGTGTGGCACCTGAAAGCGGCGGGCTTGCTGTCCATGAGCTCGAACTCCTTGGAGGTGGGGTCCCGAACTCCTCGTCCGAACTCCTCGGCGTTTGCTCGTGGTATGTGGACCTCGGGGGCCCCGACGAGACGGTCGCTCGAAAAGAGGACATATCTTACGGCGCGCCCAACAGAGGGGTTTCTTCGGGACCTTCACAGCATCGGGCATGCAGCTTGGAAAGGACATTGTTTATAAAAACCGAGAAGGTGGATCTCAGGGCGCCAACTCTATATCGATGAACCTTATGAGTTCCAACAAGTCCCGTCCATTCTGTGGGCGAATTGGTTGATTGATATGGTTAGGAGCCAAAGCTGAAAGGAGCCTTTGAAGGTGAAACATTGACCTTTGAACCCTCGACTTTTCCTGTTGCTTGACATGCGTCATGCCATTGAGCACTTGAGAATTTGACGTACCATTGAGCACTTGACCCAGAAGAGCAGATCGTGACGGCAAGAACTCGCTTTCGAATTCACCACCTGAACAGGAGCCAGCTATAGTTACAGGACCAAAATGCACTCCGACTCACTCAAGTGGAAGTGAAACATGGCCCCTGTGCCACTGGGTCTTCCATTTCCCTCTGCAAACTGGTGCTGGTGCTTGCCCGCTTCCGTCACGGTCACGTGTTCCTCGGGTCACCGGTCACGGCTCCGCGGTCGTGCCAGCTGGGCGAAGTGGATTGGTACCTGGACCAGGAGGCGGAAGTTGGGTGGATAGGATGTGTCTTGAGAGTCTTCCCGTGGATCGGCTCCACCGTGGATCGGCTCCCTTATTTTTTGCTTGACGTTCATCAGCTTGCTTCCACACACAATGGTTTAGAGGCCTTCGAGAGCCTCTTGCTTGGTTTCTTGTTAGATGTTGTGGTGTTATATAGGGGGTTTGGGGATCTACGGAACTCAATGTTTTTGACATGATGTTCCCATGGCCACCAGCGACCCCAGCGCGTCAGCCCACCTTCCCAGCCCCTTAAGAGCAGCAAAATGCAGAGAAATGCAAGGGCGGGAGGCCAGTTGCCCATCAGCGACCCAATGCGCATCAGCCCAACTTCCCAGCCCCTTAAGAGCAGCAATAAAGTCTTAATTACTGCTCAAAGGACCTTTCAGCTCCTTAGCGCATCCCAAACGAGCCAGGGCTCGGCTCGCTTTCTTCAGGTTGAAGGCACACTTCAATGTCATGAGCGCTTTGATGGTTTGCTGCGGTCCTGGCATGTTTACATAACACGGATGGGACGGGCCCAGGAAGCTACCCTTTGACATCATCCCGGAGTCTGAGGCATATTCAACTTAGTGAACCATGCATCACTTAAGATGAAGCATCGTAAGCATTTTGTGGGATTTGGTTAGATGCCTTCTAATGCTGGTCAGACTTGCTACACGTCCGGGCAAATGTATACAATGGTCCATGGACAGTATGATAGGGTATACTGTAGGGGTCTATGAAGTCTCATTTATTCCATGTTATCCCAATTATGTGGGTGTCAAAGAAAGTCATACAGCCCAAAAAAAAGAAGGTGTGGATCAAAACAAGTCGCATTCACATCTCTCCCAGTGAGACCTTTACTGTCGTTGATCCCTAGCGTCCAGCATCGCCAGAGAGGCCAGACGTACCTGAGTTCTGCAGTGCTGCCAGATCCATCGCCCAAATAGCGATTTTGACGCCCTGTTCATGGCACCCGGTTCGTCCACGAAGAGTGACCTAGCACTCCGGATCATTTTCCGGCCTCAATCCAAGCAGCCCTGGCACTTTGTTTATGAGAGGAATTTGTGTTTACTTGGACCGGATTCATGGTTACCTCCCCCAAAATACAGCTGATTGAATGTATCATGGGAGGATAAACATGTATAGTCTATAGTAGTTGCATATTTGGTACTCGTACCCCTCCCCTGAAAAAGAGGGACACCACCAAATTCACATCCCCTGGGGATCTAAGTGCCTTCTCAGAAAGTACTTGGACCCTCCAAAACCTACATAACAGTGTCTCCAATCACCTTCTGAGAAGGTACTTGGATCCCTAGGGATCAGCTGGTCAAGTCTGTCCGTCGTTCGTCGTTCGTCTGGAATCCAATACGCCGATGAAAGTGCACCGGAGAGTGATTCTGAACACCAACAGTACTATATTCGTCTATGCAACATCAAGGAGGATGCAGGTTGCCCAATCTTTGGCTGGCTAAATTTAGTGGCTAAATGCACTGAATGTCTTCATTTGTCAAACCACTCATGACAGTTATGGCACGGTTGTCCATCATCGACTTTCAATCGTTGAACTACAACGTTTCTTTCCTGTGCTTCCCGTGCACATAACAATACATATCAGCATATATCAGCAATGTCTCCTGAGGGTGAACGTTTGCCAACCACCAGCACATCTGGCAAACAACCCTCCCACCCAAACACCTTGTCAAAAGGGTGTAGTAGTAGTAGTAGTAGTAGTAGTAGTAGTTGTTGTGGTGGTGGTGGTGGTGGTGGTGGTGGTGGTGTTTTTTTTTGTGTGTGTGTGGGGGGGTGTTAGCATATTTTAATGTAATGTATATGATATGCACATATTTATGTTCACCGGCCCACTTGTTTATGTCTTTGACCCATCAGTCCATGCCAGGCTATGGTTAGAGCCATGCCAGGCCCCGTGTCCGTCGCTTCGCCGCTTTGCTTTGGGACCCATATATGGAACCCATGCAGAAACGAATTCATTCAGATGTCAACAATTCAATGGTAAAGCCAACAAATGAACTTGAACACAATTCCCCAGGGACCATTGGCTTAAAGGTGATGATTTTGTGAGGAGATCTTCCAATTCCAATCTTCCAAGTCCGCAATACGTAGACGACGTAGACGTAGAGCAGCATTTGTCCATGACAGAATCCTCCAGTTTTCCATGATTTTCATGGTTCGTTTGGGGGTTTGGTTGTTAGTTTGAACTGGCCCTGCTCTAGGGCTTTGGACCCACACGAACTGGGAACTACCGAGTCTTTGGTGTCTCCATACTTGTTATCGAACGGCCCATGGTGTGTAGGGATCAACCTCCATCCACCACTAGAGATCCTTTGACAACAGATATGACTCATATGACCAATCTGTGTTTTCCATGTTTGTTTCTTTTCCCATGAGTTAATCTTCCCATCCATGCCCGTCGAGACCCCCTTCGGAAGAGACTGAGGGCAGCGACTGCTACGATGCCCTGGTCTCTGATGAGCCGCTACGCGTAAGTGACTTAAGGCCAGGGCAGGGGCTTGACTCCTTCGCCGGTGTCCATGAAACATCACCGTTTGGGGAAACGCCGAATCGAGTCTTGCGAGGGGTCACATGATATATGGGGAGTTATCGGGCAACCCTTCGTAGTGAGAGCGGTCACGTTTGGCCTCGATATGTCCTGGAAAAGTCAGCGCATTTGCAGCGTAAGCAGTCTCCAAAACGAACGAAGCGATCTTTAGATGTCCTCCCACAATTAATGAAACAGAGAAGTGTTCAATCGAGTGGAGTGCAGGTACTACAAGAGTGTCACGCAAGAGTCTCCCACAAGATTGTCCTAGAAGAATGTCGCACCAGAGTGCCAAGCTCCACAAGAGTGTGCTAGAACGTTGTAGGATATTTTTTAGGAGCGTGTCGCACAAGAGTGTCCTGCCATAGTGTCAAACAAGAGTGTCATGCCAGAGCTACCAGCCAAGAGCACCCGACATTCAGGTTCGTGAATTAATTGTATTTGTACAAAAGCATCCAAAAGCGCAAGCGCCCAGAGAAGTGTGAACTGTAAAGCATTAAATTGTCAACCCCGCCAACTCTCAGGTCATCGCAGAGCACGAGACTGAAAAAACAAAAACAGGTTTTTCACCGGTGCTATTAATAATTGCTACCGCAACGCTACCGATGTGGAGGCATCACCGCTTCGGGGTGCTCGTGGTGCCTCAACAGGCCGGTGGGACGGGAGCGCCTTCCCAAATTTCCAAGGCTGGGCTGTCAATAGCTTACAGGATTTCGGAAGGTGGTCGACTGTGACATCAAACCTGGCAAAATTGCCTCATGTTTGAAGTTTGAAGTTGTGAAGCTTGCAGAACCATAGCCAGCATGTGAACTACTTCTGCATCCAGAGAGTCAAGTGACTTTTGTGACTTTTGGGTTCCAAGGAGACAAATATGCCATTTGGGTTCACCCTGAAAGGTACTGGCACTTGAAGCTGTGTTGTTCATACGTGAGGTGGTGATGTAAAAGGGGGCATGTGGTTGTGGCAGAGGCTGTGACATGTTCACATGGAGAAAAGACATGGCTGGCATGTCAGCTGACTGTGATTGGGCCACTGTCACTACCAGACAAACGTTTTCAGACGGCGTCTCCTTTGGGTTGGACTAAATCAATTTGGACCTGCGGGCCCTTGAAGCGCTTGAAGTGTGCAGTTACAGTTGGTTTGCGGGAAAAAACATTGGCAGCCCAAAACAACAAACAAACAAACAAACAAACAAACAAGCAAACTAAAACAAAGTGAATGTATATACTGTATGTGAATGTGTTCTTTACCATTCAGAGTTTGCATCAGGTTCATGATAACCTTTTATTTGATGGCACTTCCGGGTGTTCAACATGTATATAACATGTGGATGTATTTACACCCTGCGGGTTGTTCCGCCGGCCTTTTCAGCCAATGGTGCCAAGATGCGGATTACCTTTTGCGTCAAGAGGAAAGACTGCAACAGAGCAGAAAAAGCAACAGCATCATCCAGAACACAGCTGGAGCAACAGAGGAGCCTACATGAAATGACGTGCATTATGATACAATAAGAGAACAGGGAGATGAAATTGGGGGATGCAAAGTATAGCCTGCCAAGCAAGAAGACAAATTATATGACATGTGACACAATGAGCGAAGTAGACCGTGCGAAGCAGCAAACGTACATAGCATTCCGTCAGACATGATACAAGAGAGTAATGAGGACATGTGTGGCATGGGGATTTCCAAGCAGTCTGAGTCTACAAAAAAAGATAGATACGTGAGTGCAGGTGCAAAACCTGACCAAAACGCATGCAAAGCAGAAGCGCAATGCATGGACAACGACAAGAGAAGAACGACGATAAGAAGAAAGCGCACGCAACCTTTCACTTTAGCTATGATATATGTGAGCTACATACATTCGGGATGTTCTTGGGGGGGAGGGGGGGTCAAGTTAGACGAGGCAAAAACTTGCTCCAGAGACACTTCTCTTATTACATATAGATTCAACATGACTTAAGCGACATACAAGCCACATTGATAAAACAAGCCGGCGCCCAAGGGCCGGCGGATTTATTATGGGACTTCTGACCGGAACATGTTGTTGTGACCCCATGTATGCAACAGCGTCAACATGGCTTTACTGAAACGATATAAGCCCGCATTGTATAGGGGGTGACACTGACATGAATGCCACTGTATTATCGGCTTCTCGTGCTCACTGAAGCAAACAACTTGCGTTGCTGCCCGATCTCGCACCAGGCGTTGCCTCAGCCCAGTGTCTACAAAATAAACCTGACGGCACCTATATAGGGCGTGCACTTAAAGGAGGGACCAGAATATTCTAACATGCCAAAGCAAGACCAAGTCGCTGCTAAATTGGGCCAGTCACCAAACATACTTGGGGCATTTTTGGGCAGATGTTGAAATTGTTTAAGGGTGAATGCTCTTTCGATCGCGTTCTTTGAACACTTGACGACCTGACATGATTTTCAATTTGGAACCCCTATATTGCATATATATGCTCTAGCTTGCCTTTTAAGTCGTTGGCATTTATGCTCAAATCATATCAACATATTGTTTCTTTTGACAAACAACATCGTTTGAAACAGCCATCGATTTTGCTACAACACTACTCGAAGTGGATTTCTTGGGCACCCTGCGGTTAGCATAGCCGTGCGGCTAACATACATATCATGGTGTTTGGTTGACGATGCTGGATGCATACTGTGCATTATACACATATGTATATCATATATATTGTATATATATAATATATATATATATATATGATATGCGTCATGTAGTATGTACGCATTTCTTCTTTGCCATGATGTAGTTTCTGATAGCCTGCAGGCAGAGGTGCCAGCTGGAGAAGTCTTTGTGCACCTCAGGTGCCCAACACACCAGAGGTGTCACCTTTGTGTCGCGGGGATGAGAACGACAACCCAGGCCAAGCACAAACAGATCGGCCGAAATAGGAATTGTGAAGCCCATGGGGCTACATGTAGTGTCAGCAACTTGTTTTTTTCAACTCATAGTTGGATGATGAATCAGACTGACACAGATTCTCCAGGTGGATTCAAACCACGAAGCAGTAAGTGGTTCGTGCGGTTTATCATCCACGTCCACATAACATGGACACTTTGCCCATGCCGCTTCTGCCAGCCTTCTGGTTAAACTTAATTTACAACGAAGTTTCAACTGTGCAAACTTGGGATGATGCTGATTGTCATCCCCATGGAAAAAAGAAACAGGTCGCTGAACTTCGCAGATTGTGAAATTTTGTTGTGTCAGTTTGTTTGCATTCCAGTTAAAGGCACACAAACGCATGAGAACATGTTCCCCACAAGCACCAAACTGCAAAGACGTCAACCTTCAGATTGTATAGACCCTATTGGCTGACGGGTGAGTGCACACAGCTCGGATACCCAAGGAGTCCCCAAGTGAAGAGAGGCTACACTCTGACTCAGTAACATGGAAGACCATGTTCCGAATACCAAACATATATGGTGAACTCCACTTCCGTGGTAGCGAGTCCGGGTGTTTTTTGTACCTTGCAACTTTGAGGCTTCGCACTTTGAAGACTCACAATTTCTCAAATCCAATCCTGGAATACGAATACAATCACACATGACCCGGACCCAACTTCTTGGTTCACAGGTCGGCCTCAAAATGGAGGTTCATGTTGCCAGTTGGGTTGTATTCCTTCTACCCACCGTGCTAGGACGCCTCCTGGTTTTCGGTTTTGACGCACAGGCTTCGTCGCGATGGAGATGTTGAAGTGCTTCGGATCGAGAAGAAAACGCAGCGACGTGACCGTGCGATCGCGGAGTGGTGACGAGGCAGTTCTGACCTTCGTTCCTGGGTACCTGCATTTTCGGCTTCGCATGCCGCTGCAGCAACTGCTCATTTCCGGATACCTTGGATGCATTTGTTTAATCAAGTGATCCAACATGTTCACCAAGCAGTGGAAACATATAGATAACATGATGATAAATGCCTTGTGAATGGAACTGATTTAGCGGCCCAGACGACGACTATTCACATGTCCCCACGCCCCTCCAAGATCGGTGTTTCCTGTACCAGTGACAACTCTGCTAAAGCACCAATCGACTGCAGAGGGGGGCATGGTTGGCTTGGGCATGGTGAGTTCCACGATGCTTCTCAAAATTGGCCGAACATGCCAATAGGTCGGTTCTTGCAGCTCATTCGCAACCATGGTCGGGCATTCATCAGAGGGATGCTGAACCATGCTGTACCTTGCAGTAAACCTTGTTGTCATCGCGTATGGAAGGTGTCGTTTATTAAATGTTACCAGACTGTTTTGTAAGTTTTGGGACGTGTCGAGGAAGCCATCGAAGCAACTCCAAGATAGACTCCAGAGTAACATACGTCCCTGCTTCTTGAGGAACCCAAACTCTTTCGAGAACCTTCAACAGGGTGGTGTTCAGTTCCTCGCTTGAAAAGACTGCAGTTGGTGGAGTCTTATATAAATGCTTCACCAGCTCAACGATGTGGACGTTTCATTTATCAACAGTGGGACAGTGGATGGTATCCCAATATGGGTGTGTATGCAAGTGAACTAGAATAGGGAGACCTGCAGGCAACAACCCTCTGGAAGGTTCGGAAGATAGACCAGTCAACCCAGCCAGAGCGATCGGGTGTCTCCCTATTCAAACACCCATATGAGACGAGAGGATGGTTTCAGTGGATTCCCTCCAGAAGGACACGTGTCATGGACACTGAAGTTCATCGGATGGACAGAGATTCTGGCTGGAGTGGTCATGGACACATGGATGTCTGACATGATCATGAAACATGGAGTTGGTTCTTCTTTCTGAACTTTTGGAGCACAGCTGAGCACAGCCCAATCTGGCCAAAACGGACTGACGGCTGCAAGGCCCAGACTCTTTGAATTCCAAGGAATGTGATTCGGAATGAGTTGAGCCCTGAAGTATCATGAAAGCCACCAAACATCAATGAACCGGCTGGACTCCAGATAGACATACTGTATATTCATATAGTCTATAGTCTATAGTTATAAAATGTTATAAAACTATCACAGACAAGCTTCTCCTCATTTCAGCAATCCTCTCCCAAACAGATGCATGAACAGACCAATCCAGCCACTGCCAACGAGCTGCCAGCACTGCCGGCACCAGTGCTGCCCGCGGGGTTTTTCGCCATGTTCCGCGGCGGGCGCCTCGGAGGGATCCAGGGCGCTGCCGGCGCTGCCTATGATGCGGCGCACAAGGCGACTCGGCGGGAAGGTGGGGACCGTGCGGGTTTGGGGACGTGAAGACTGTGCCATGGCAGCCATGGTGGCCCACTGGAGGGGCACCTTGAAATCGGATCAGATTGGGAAGACAATGGGAGTGAAAGGACATGGGAGTGCAGGAATCAGTAGGATCGAAAGGCGTACGAAGGTGATTGAACATGACTGAAGGCTCACTAATTATGGTGGCCTGAAACAACGTAACAGAGGGTTACGGCTTGAAACCAAACAGACGTAGTAATAAGCTGGGTATCCGGGAATTCAAGTAATATTGGAATTATGTGTAATGTAAACCCTTTCCATATCCGACTATGAAATGAGGTGGGTCCACCCCCTAGCAGAGCACAGGGTAATTGTAACGTCATACTTGATTTAGAAAACACCAGTTAGGGAATGGGCGGAAGGAAGGACGTGGATGCGTTCTCCAACGTACATTTGGATAGTTGCGTGTTAGCGGCTATCCCCTTGAGTTTCCTCAGTGCAATCCCGTTCAAAACCATATGCATATAGTCAAGCACAGGTCGATCAACGTGCGCCTCGCCGGGGGGGGAACCCGTTCCAGCCCAGGCGGAGTTCGATGAGATCCTCAAGACGGGGACGAGCTTAAAGAGAATGAAGACGGATGCTCGTCGAGACAAAGGGCTAGGCATCCACATACCTGGTGAGAAAGGGGGAAGGGGGTACGCTCTCAACATCATGGTTCAAAGCAACTTCTGAGAGAGAATGTGGATCCCGTAGGGCATGTTATCGGAAGAGAAATCTGGAGACACCGAACAAGTGTTGATTGCTTTGACAATGAATATCGTTTCGTCACCACCTGTGCCAACTAGCATGGAAGCCACCCGGTAGAATCTATAAATCTATACATGATGTTTCTGGTTTCCAGGATGTTTGTTGGTTGCTATGTACATTACCTAGTTCATTGGGAGGGATTTCCCTAGGCCAATACATCCATCCGGCCGGTGTTTTGAGAATGCATCAGGCAGCTGCAGCTTTTCAGGAGCTGGTTTTCAGGAGCCTCTCTCGGGGTACCCACCCAGTTCCTGGTGACATCTTCCAGCTGCCAAGACGATAAGAGACCGGATGGAGAGCGACCGTGCTATTCCCCGCGACCGGGCTCGGGTGGAGACGATGGAGACGGTCCGAAGGATCAAACCGCTGCATTTCAAGCCAAGCGAAAGCACATCGATCCGACTTGACCTGTTTGACAGGACATCTTTTGGGGGGGCAATGAAGTGCGCAATGACTGGAGTCTGCATGGAGGGTTTTTCCGGTGTGGATGAAGAGAGGGGCATGAGGTTACTTGATGTCGTGTGTCGTGTCGGGGGTGGGGGATGAGAGTTGGTTCTGAGTTTGTATTCATTGAACAAGTGCTAATGAATACTGTACAAACTCATGTAAGTTGGATTTGTCCTATTAGCTGTAACAGTCCGTATATAACAATTATCACTACATTTGGACAAGACCTCTACTAACCATCATCCACTGTTACAGGGTAAGATGGACCTCTTTTTCCTCTTTCGGTATCCATAGGCTGTCGCCCGCGGTCGAAATGCATCTAATTACTAATTCAGGCAAAGGTTCAACCGTGGTAGTCAGGCCCCCTCTCGGCAGAGAGGTTGAAATCCTTCGTTAGCTCCTGGATGGTCTCAAGGAACACAGTCGGTATTTCATCAACCGGTTCACCTGGGCCATCGCTCTGACCTGCTTCCACAATTGCGCAGAGCGCTCTGCACAGGCCTGGGGGGTACTCTTTGAGCACGGCTGTCTTCCAGCTGCCGTCTGCAGCTTTCCCCAAGGCATAGCTAGTAGGTAGCGGCGAGGTTCGTAGCGAAAAGAGAAGGCTCTCGTTATCAGGGGCCCCGTTAATGATGAACAACGTAGTGGGCTTCGGCGTCAAGCCGCCGTAGAATCCCTGCAAAATTTCAACCTTCTCACACTGCGGGAACCTCAAAAAGAACCCCAAGATCTCAAGCCGCCAAATGCTAGGCCGATTTACATCTTGGCTGATATCACTGGGGTGCTCTAGGATCGACGTGGCGCCAAACAGGAGGGTGAACCACATCAGCTTGATGGTGATGCTAAGCAAAAGGCTACCGATGGAAACTTGTTTGTGTTCTTTATGAGTAAGATCAAAATTGCCCCACGGCATTCCTCGCCTCCGAACAGGCCTTGGGCCACCGGGCATGGCATTATACCGGGCAATGGACCACGTCTCGCACGGCGGGCCCGCAATCCAGGCGACTAAATAGCCGGATCGCAGGGCTTCCACAAACATGCTAAAAGTTTCCTCTCTGCTCAGGTCGCCCCAGCGTTGGTCGTAAATGATGTCGATAGAGACAGCAAGGAATCCTCTCTGCTCTAAATACTCCTGAACGTCATGGTGCCGCCTTGCACCGGAAAACAAGTGCGCCACCATCCGCGGTCTATATCGTACTCGTTCAGGGTGTGCCAGAACCAGACTGCTCATCTCAATTGCTTGCACTCGGAAGAAGGACATGGCGCGTTCATGCGCAAATGCAGCAGCTTCAGGCCGGCCTAAAAACCATTCACCGCCTGCCTTAGTCCTAAAGATGTAAAGTGCAGAAAGTATGGAGAGTGGTGCCTCTTCATGGCGTTGCAGCCAAGCTTCACTCCAATCCTGAAACAAATCCAGAATTTCATCGTGATAGAGGAAAGTAACCTTGGTAGCAACTCTTAGTGCCTCGACTGCTTCTTGAGTCGTCACAACCGTGGACATGGCATCGTCCCATGCTTGGCGGAGCGTCACACGCGGCTGCGCAACAGCTGTCAAAGCACCATGAAGTTCTTCCCATTCTGGTTTTGGTCCTTCAGCTTGCATATAGGGGTCAGGTAGTTCACTGCGCATCCGAGCTGCCTGTCGACTGTTTACTCCAGGCTCTCTCGCGACACATAGTCCTCTACCCTCGTAGAGCCGGTAACAATGATCCTGCCTGTTCACGTGATTGACCAGGTCTACATGGCTAGGGAAGACCTTCAAGCACGCTTCACAAGTATCTCCTGTTACAAAGTCACGGGCTCGCGCCACCCGATTGTGGCGCTTGAAGGAATGGACAGCACACGCCGACGCGCTGTCAAAGGTCCTCTGGCAGCAGAGACAATAATGTCGTACCTGGCTACTGGATGCCATGCTTGGCAAACAAATCCCTGCCGCAAGCACTTGCTCGTAGATTTCCACATGCCATCGCTCCCACTCATATCTTCTTTGAAAGAAAGCCTGGCTCCTCGCTACAGCTCTGCGCAGAAGGGCCTTCCAAGCAGTTGGCGATCGCGCCATGAAATCTCGCCAGCATTGCCAATCTTGAGCAGGCATGGGTACCTCAGCTTCAGGGCAGAATTGGTGCACCCAAGCTAGGTCTTCCTCGACGAGCCTCCACCAGGCTTTTTCTTGTCTCAGCAAAGCCCATATATGCTTCTGCCCCCGCTCCATGAGATGCCCAACATATCTTAACCGTGCAACTGCGAGCATCGTCGTGTGGCTTGGGAGGCCTGTCTCAAACAATACTCTCTCACAAGACCACTGCAAGGCCACTTGTCCAAAGTGCAATATTGCAAACCTTTTGAAAAGCTTCGAAAAGCCCGTGCTGAGTTGCTTAGTCTGCCTTTTGGTGGGCGCCTGCCACAAGGCCATGTTGAAAGACATCGTCGATATGACTAGCGAGGAGAGGAATTGTCGCTTCTTTTCCAAATACAGCATGCGGTTGCGGAAGATCTGGCTCTTGTAGCGAGTCAACACCTCGTGTGCCGCCGCAAACTTCGTGGATACATCCTTTCGTATTCCTTGCTTGACTTCAATCCATGTGCCCAGATGTTTATAACTACCCGTCAATCGCAGTTTCTCGGGCACCAAAATTGAAGATGTCTGCAGCATATGATCTTGACTAGCAAGCTTCCTCCGCACATCCAATGAATTCCTCCCTCGGCAGTTGAGCAATAACTCTGTCTTCCCCCGGGCAAGGTTCGGGGAAAGTCCAGCCAGCGTCAGACGATCAAAAATTGCTCCTGCCACACATTTGGCCTTATGTACAAGGTCTTCGGCACTTTCAGCATCAAAAGAAATGGCCAAATCATCGGCCCATATCGGCGCCAAAAGGCCAATAGTCTCTTCTTGTTCATCATCATCATACGGATGCATATTTGCTGTCGTCTTGATAGTCATATCAGGAAAGTCATGTTCAAGCTTCTCGAAAACCGGGGAAAGGACTCTATTGAGGGCATACCCGAAAGCCATGTCAGCAAAGGTATCCCCAGGCCTTGAGCCTCTCCTTGTGTGCGTAAGGACATCGTGGTCTCGAATTTGGAACCAAGTTGCCTCGTAAAACGTACGAAAAAGCTCCTTCACATATGGCGAGACCCCAGATGCATCAATAGCCGGCTCAGGTGCCATTAGCTGCAGGAATTCCTCCAAGGCCTGTTCTGGCAGCCCCATGTCTGTGAAGATCGCCAGCAGTGTTCTTCCATCGGCCTGGGAAGACACGACATGTCGTCTCAAGAGTCGATAAAAGGCGTTACTGACATCTACAAATAGCACACCCGAGCTCCGATTTCGTTTGGCAGCAATCTGATGGAAGAGTCGTATGGCATGCGCTGCCTGAGCGATGGAAAACCCTGGAATTCCACCTAACTGCATCGGCAATCGATTCTTAGCAAAATCATCAATCAACTCTTTCCGATAAACAGCATGAAGAGCTTTGCTTGCGGGTGAACTCACAAAGAGGCTGCGGTAACTAGAGCACCACGAAGGGTTGCCTCGCTTAAACGCGGGCACTAGTGTACCTCCTTTGAAGATACACGGCTCGCGCAGCATCATAACTTCTTTCAAATAAAGCGGGTAATAGAGCCGGGCCATCAATGACGGAGCTCGATTTAACACATCGCCAGGGACTCCATCTACAAAAAAGGCTTTTCCCTTTTTGGTAGCTCGAAACTGCCGCTCTATTTGCATGATGGATGGCAGATCATCCCACTGCGGTTGCAGTCGGGGGGTCTCTCCCAGACGATCACACAGTTGCATCAGCTCTTCAGGAGTGACCGCTACTCCATCTTCCTGAGCTGCGAAATAAGTCCGCCACTTCTCTCTCAGTCTCGTCAGCTCTAGGATGGGCGTGCCGTCCTCTTCCGCCACCATAGGAAGTGGCTGGACCGGGCCAGGCTTTTTGGGGCTTCTGACTCCAGCACTACGCAGTGCTTGGAAGAAGTCAGCCTGGCTCATCCGTGGCATCTGGGTGGCCAGTTCCTCAAGAAAGCTGGTTCGATCAAATCGCAGCTGTCTCTTGAGCTGCCTGGCCTCATCTGCGCTAGTCTTCTTCAAGAGAAGAAGGCGTCCGAAAGTCGTCCACACACGAAGGAAAAGGAGCCTACTATCAAACACGCAATCCCCTTTCCAGACACTCCATGTCATTTGCAGCGTACTGCAGTATAGGATGTCTCGGGAGGAGGCAATTTGTCGTCGAGTATATGCTCTTGAGGTACGAATCTCCCAGGCCTGTGATGAGATATATCCTTTGCGGGGGTCATGATGTTTCTTGGGGAATGCTTTGCACAATCGTGCATTGATCTGGGAGGAAAGACTAGTTGCGTGTTGCTCGATGTCTTCCTGC